ATGGGGTTTTTTTTTCAGACTGTGTTGCCTTTACACAGAAATGAAGAAAAAACACAACCTCTTGCCCCACTCCTGCTTGACATACACCATCATACTCAGAGCTACATATTATGCTTTATAGGACATGGAAAAATTTTGTTAATCGGTAACAAAAAAGAGAGCATCAGTTCCTAAAGAGTTAGTTGGTAGCAGACTTTCAAGTCTTCTGAACTTCTCCATCATCATTTTCCCACTAATGGCTCAGAGTACTGTGCTACAGACAGAACTGGCCTCCTTCATGCTGCCAGTGATGATGCGTCTGTCCCTGGGTATTCAGAAACCAGCTGCTGATTTGCATACACTGTCCCTTTTGCTGTTTGCCCAACCATGCTAAGTAGTTTTTGGCGTGGGAGTGCGAACAATTCTGTCTGCCCTGCAGAAAGAAGGAATAAATGAGAGGTCTGTCTTTACTCCCTTCTCATATCATCATCCTGCCTGCCAGGCAGCCAGGCGTGAGGGTGGAGAGACTCGCTGAAGAGGAACAAAAAGTTGATGACATTTACTACGAATGGTGCTTCCATCACGCATGCTGTCATGTAGCTGTGTCCTCATATCGAAACTAAAACAGAACAGCAGCTCTCAGTGGTTCTCTACATCACATTTTACATTGGATTTGTGCCTTCAGATTGTTCCAAAATGAGTCAAGGTGAAAAGAGCCTGTGGTACATTATAGTTCACATTTTAGATGTATCTGTTACGTGCACTGTACATAGCAACTCATACTGTAAAATACATACCTTGTCTTCCCAACCAAAGAAGGAGATGCTGAATATGAGTGCTTTGCAAGGTTCAAGGTTGGCTACATCTCTTCAAAAAACAAAGTTGTAACCCCACCAAAACTCTGTGGTCAGATGCAAATATTGCTGGCTGTGTAGTTCAGTGTGCAGAAGGTTATACTAGGTGAGCAGAGCGCTCCTCTTGTTCATGCCTCTGTCACTTGGTGTAAGTGCTAAACATGTTTACTGGCTACTTCAAAGTGTAAATTGCCTCATCAGCTCCTCTCCATTGTACTTGGATTTGCTGCTTGGGAATAGAAAGGAATGAAGTATGGATTACTTCTGCACTCCAGATGGTTACCAGCTTGTGCCCTTCAGCATGAGAATTGATCATTCCCACCATTTATAAGGTAGCTAGTGTAACAGGTGTTAGAAACAGGATTTCAGGTGAGGAATATGCCACAGAAGTAGATAATCTCTTAAGACACCGGTGCACCAGCCTGCGGCATTAGAAAGGTGAGCACGAATTTTGCTCCCTGTTTAATACATATGAAGCTGTCAGCTTATAAACATGTCAATAAGTTACTGCATTTTACTCTGCTGGAGGTGGTGCTTGGAAACGGACAGAAGACAGAAAATGCACTGAATCTCACAGAGCCAGATTTAGATGGGTTACACACCTTTGTCTAACTTGCTTTCAGCTATTGAGTTCAAGGAGGTTTTGTTGTTTATTTTTACACTATAGATGGGAATGCTTCCAGATTTCAACCAGCAGAGCAATGCCAGAGATGGGAGCGGAGACAGGTCTGACTCTCAGGTCAAAATTCACCCTGTGAAGTCCTTGGCAATGCTGGCCACCAAGAGGGCAGGCTGGGAGAAGGGCAGCTTCCCCTGTATCTGATCTGCACCTACTGAAAGCAGCACAACCTTCACACTGATTTCAACAGTCAGTTCACCAGGCAAAATTCTGCCCTCATTTTGCAACACAGCTCTCATTTTCCCCATTTCATTCTGCTTGGTAAATATCTTTGTTAGTTGAAGACACTGCTGTTAGCTTTTGCAGAGAATAAAGCTAGAGAGATAAAAAGAGCCCATTTTCCTCCACTGTGTGCATGAGACTAAAAGAGAAGATGGAGAGGGGAAAATAAGAAACAGCGTCCAAAGAAGAAAAATAGTGTGAGCGGGATTAAGTTTTCTTTCATGGGCAGTACAGGAAACCATTTTCAGGACCTACTGATAGCAATGTACACTGTGCTGTAAAATCCCTTCAAGCTGCAAAGCCAACCTTCTTATGACCTTGTTTTCACACAACCAAGTAGTTTTTTTTAAGAAAGGTCCAAGAAGGTGGCATTACAAGTTCAGCAGATGCTGTACTGCACATTAAGGAATTATTTTTTGAATGACAGTTTCTGAAGAACTTTTAGTAACACTGGTGTACACCCCTAGAAAAGCCTCCTGTGACTGAACTGGTTCAGCCTCACAAAACAAATGGGCATGCAGTGGGGACATGTTTTTGAGAAACTAACTTCCCAGGAAAGCAGCAGTGCAGGAAGGGAGGGAAACAGAAGAAAAAGCAATCCATCTAGGAAAAAGCAGTTAACTTCTTTTATAGCACCTTATGTCTTCCACACAATGTAATTATTTAATTACGGTGTCACGTCCCGGATGGAGAGATATGGCTCATCCACCCACTCATTTTAGTGACAGCCAAACTGAATTAGACTGGCTGCTTGCTGATTCTTAGTAATTTCAAGCCAAGTGGTCCGAGGTCATATTTTACTTTTCTCACAAGCTTCAGCGATGCTGCTGAAACCCAGCAGAGACCTGATTTGCAGTGTGAAGCGTTGGGTCTCTTTCAGAGTTGCCAGCACAGCTCGTGGCTTGTCCCAGTCTAACTTACCTGGCTGCTCTGGGTCTAGCACCTCTCTTTTAACACGGTACTTTTGCATTAGTTGGACGGATGGCAAAAGTACATTGTCACCAGCACATAGGAAATGTTGATCTGTGTTTGTACAGGGAGTGGTTTATTTATTACGTTGATGTATATATAAGGGAGCGCACACCTCATGTGAAGTTATCATACAACTCTGTCCTTGTCAACCTGATTTTCCCAGTGATGTTTTCTTTTGTTTCATACCTCATCTTGTGAAATGCACATCAGAAGTCTGGTTAGATTTCTACACGACAGTTCTCCTTTGGGCAATTTATGACTTGCGTGGCATGGCAAAGAGGGAGGCAAAAGAAACCACACAAGAGCATTTCAAGCACTCCTCAGATGGTCTTTTAAAACCCTTTTGTATGTTGTAGTCTGGCTGCATCATGTCTTACTTCTTTCTCTTTTAGCTACAGTCAATGTGCATGCTGCCTAGCAGCAGCCTAGGGTCTGGAGTGTATTTTCTGCAGGAATAGCTCTGTATTCAGCAAAAGATGAACCTCATTCTGGGATTTCAGATGATGGTTTCCATGTCTCTGAGCAAATCTGCACCTCACCTCAGTTCAGGCTCTTCAGAAAGAAAGGTCCTACAGAAAGCTCTGACCCAAATAAGCAGACCCTAATTCATAGGGGAAATAGAATTAAAATATTTCAAAAATAAATAATTTCTACTACTTGTTTCTGTGTGGCACATAATACAGTGCAGTTGAAAGCCAGAGGAAATTCTTGCTACTGCCATGCAGAGGTCCCTTCCTTAGGTCAGCTCTGATCCTTTCTCAGGCATGATCTCAATTCCTTTTCTGACAGAGGTTCAGTTCTGTATGCAGCTGTGATTCTGGGACTTTCCGAAGCCATTGTTTGGGAATCTGGCATAGCAGAAGAATGCAATTCACTGCATGTTACCTCTTGCTAAAACAGAAAAAAAGAGTTGCCTATCTGTTAAAGAAGTAAAAACCAAACCAAAACAGGAGTGGTACAACTCTCCCAGGTTTCTTTTAGTGTTTGGTAGGAAGAGGGTAATCAGATCTCAGAGAATGGTGTGCCAGGAAGGAAGTTTCTTCCCATGTGCAGCATACAATCAGCCAGGTGCAATACAAGGAAGGGAGGTTCATCTTCCTCTGAAGCATAAGGTACTAGCTTCTGCCAGAGTCTGTGTACCCGAGATCTGATCACATACAGTAAATTTTATGTTCCTATGCACAGTGGGTAAGCTTTGTAGCAAGTCAAACAATGAGTCATCTCACCAGGGGAAAAAAAAGAGAAAGCTTTTATCACCCAGTGGATTGGAGATAATCTCTCTAGTTGGGTAGTTTCCTTCTATCAGGGGAAGGAAACTATTTAAATTTGTCTGGAGAACAGATATTGAATTGTCTTACCTCCAAAGCTTCTCTGCCTGGGCCCAATAAAGACAAAATTTTGATGGTAACTTTGCTGGGCCCCTGTGAGTAAACACAATAGCCTAGGCTCTATCTGCTGTACGAGCTGGCTGGGAGAAAGGGAGTGCCAGATTCTCCTCGACACCCTGGAAAATCTGTGCCCAAACCAATAGATATCCCTGCTATTTTGCCATAAAATTATATATCCCCTTCTATGGACAGAGTTACATTGCTAATATTTTATACAGGAAACACAGTGCTAAAGGTACCACAGTCTCGTACTGGTTTTCCTCTGTAGTGTGGGAATAGCATCTGCTAATGTGATGGCATCTGGAGGAGGAGTGGGCCTGTCTGAATACACCTCTCTCAACCATACATGGACTGATAATGGCTTACAGACACACTGTTACAGAGGCTGTGTTAAGCAGCCCTTCCTTACAGACCCCAGCCACCTATAGGGAAGTCACAGCTCTTTTGCATCTGACAACTTCTTGTTATTTTTCATCCATAAATTTACAAGGGGTGTGAAGAGAGAGTACACCTCTCTTCCATGTAAGGATACACACCAAGGATGGATGGGGCCAAGGACTTTGCCTGCTGCCTGCTCTGCACATTACAAGGAGCAGTTGGAGGAAAACCCCACTGCACAGTGGAAATCTGAAATTAAATAATTTCTTAGGAGCTTTTTTTCAGGATGCTGAGGCAGTTCTTGTTTCACAGTATGTCACAGATAAACCAAGGTGCCTAAGCTAATGAAGTATTTCACAGTCCAGCGCTTAGAGTAATTCTGCATCAATACGACATTCCTCTCCTACACTTTCCCCTGAGACTTTGTACATTATGGTGTGGGAGGAAAGGGGGGTTCACTGACACTTACCCACATTCCTCTGCCTTGCCTCAATTTGGTAACACAATCACGGTCTCTTCCTGCCACAGGTTTGCAGCCCGTTTACTGGAGCAGGGAGGATGTGGCACAGTGGCTCAGGTGGGCGGAGAAGGAGTTTTCCTTGAGGCCGATTGAGAGCAACACTTTCGAGATGAACGGCAAGGCTCTGCTGCTCCTGACCAAAGAGGACTTCCGATACAGGTCTCCTCATTCGGGTGAGAATTTTTTACAGAAGCTGTGATTGAAAAGAGAGAGGAAGCTGCAACAAAAGCTGAACAGGGTCATAGGAGGAAACGGTCGCCTTTATTGGAGTAGACTGGGAAAGGGAGGGGAGACAGAGGACGGGGACGCTTGTATGAGGCAAGGACAAAAAGGACAGAGAGGGAATGAAATCTTGATACACCTGAGTTGTCGGCATATTTGAGCGCGAATCCAAATTCAAACCTCCAACCTGTTTATTAGGTGAAACTCCCTGCAGAGCTCCCAGAAAGCAAGCTTCTCTGGCAGCATTTTGTGACTTCCAGCTCTTCCCTGTAAAGGCTTATCTGTTCACAGACCCAACTACAGCAGCAAGTTAATCAAGTTAATCTTTAAGCAGCCCGTATTAGCATTTTGCCTCACAGTTAACTTGGCTGAGGTGCTGCTAAAAGCAACTGCAAAACTCCTCCCTTGGGGACTTTGCCTCTATTTAACAGCCCCTGTGGGTTTTGCCTTACTTTACCATATTCTCTCATGTGCTGGAATCCAGCCCAAGGCACAGCACAGACAGATGTGTGAATCAGTCCTGCCTATTGCTCAAATTATGTCTTCACTTACTCACAAAGAAGATTTAGAAATGTGCATGTTGCCTGCCTGTATTTATATCCCCTGCAGTCTGTCTGCTCCAGTTTTACAGTCAGAGTAAGCATCTACCCTCCTTTGTCAGGGCTGTTTAACTAAATATGAGTTGTGAGCTTTTTTTTGTGACCATACAAGGTACTCCTGTTAAATATAAAGGCTTGTAATTCAATCACCATAGGTGATCAAAGAGCTTGGACCAAGCGGTGACAGAATTGCTGTGAGGAGGCTTCTAGTGCAAGGCTCACTAGGTGCTGAAGTACAGCTGATGCTGCTTGGATCCAGCTGATAATTAAGCTGTGGCAGTAATTCTGCACCAACCTGCTTGGTGACTCTCCCCAGCCATCCTCCTGCAGAATCTGCCTCACAAATTGTTGCTTATATGTAGTGTATATGAAGTTTTTTAAGCATGTGCTTATTTTGTATGGAAGAAGAGGCCAAACATTAGCGCCTGTTGTCAGTGAGAACTGATGCCAAGAAATGTCTTTTTTTTTTTTTTTAATTCTGGTACTCCACTTGGAATCATTTTTCTAAAAAATTAGCCCTGCTTAAAGCAAAAGGAGTGTTGAATGCAGGGATGTGGGTGAGGACTGCAAGGGACACCTTTATGTATATTGTGTGCAACTCCCCTTACTATACTTTCCTACGTGGAAGTTATGAAGGTATATTCCCCTTTTTGTGTTGTGAGGGCACTTGAAATAAGCAGGATTGAAAATGTTTGTAGGCTAGAAATAAAGTGTTCCCAGGGAAAAGCCTCTGACTTGGAAAGTCTTACTTTATGCAGAAGGTTAAGCAGTTTTTACCTAAATTTAGAATGAAATAACCAAACTAAAGGCCTCCTCCCTTGCATTTTCTCTCTTTCTTCTCTCCGTGTGTTCCCCATAATAAACCTTGATAATAAACCTTGTAGAGGATATCTGAGTAAGTCCTTAAAAATTTAGATGACTGTAGGTAGGACATTACCTCAGTATTTGCCAGAAATTAACTGTCTATGAAATTTAAGAACTGTGAAATAATGTTTGCCATAGAGGCATTAAGTTTTCCAGGACTGAAGCTAAATGAAAGTTGTATTGTTTCCACTCATGGTTAAACCAAGAGAACCTCATCCACTGCACACAGTCCAAGCAATAAAATGGGCTCACAGCCCCACAGATGTTCTGTTCAGGCTGGCCAGGGAAGGGGGACAGCAGAGGAGGGAGAGAATGAAAAATGCTTTTCACCATCTTAGCTAGCATTACTACACCTGGGTGATGCAGAAGTGTAACTGTTTTGTTAGCTAAAAGAAAGACAGACAACTTTATGGACATTTTCACTAGTCTGTCAGGCCAAATCAAAAGAGGTACAAATTTGCTATCTTATTGCTTGGACTGTTACAGCGCTAGTTATGATTATGCCACTATTGTATTCAATTATGGAAAGTATGTGGTAAAATCACTTTTTAGACTGCCATGTAACTGGGTTCTTGAGGCTTTGTTTTTAATTGAATTTTCAGGTATTGCAATCACCTTTTAAAAATGCCCTAAAGTCACTGCTGAGACACTAAAAGCAGCCAAGATGTTAAAAATAAAGGAAGCCGAACTATGGAAAGCAGTATGGCTTTAACTGTTTCACACCAAGCAACTAAACTTGTCCACAAATAGAATATTGGCAGTTTATAGAGACAAGGAACAAATGATGCGCAGCTTACAATCTTGTAGAAACAACTGCTAAAAAAATCCCCACATGCTTGAGATAACTTTCCCAGAAAATCTGTTTTCTTAAGTGAAACCCAAGTTCCTTTTCAGTTAATATGTTATTGCTGCAACCTGTTCCTCTGTAATATGAGCAGTGACAAACAGAAGAGAGCAAGCAGAATTAAAAGTCAAGAGACTTCCTACCCTGTGATGTACATTTTCACTTTGAAATGTTCAACCAGTTACACCAGACAAAATGTGTAAGTACCTATGTGTTTTATGTAGATGTTGTTGGAAGAAGAGCATCAACACACGATGTGGTTTATAAAAGTCACAAAATAAGCAGTTAGTGCATTGGTCTCCTAGATATTGTGGTGGTCTGTTTCATTGAGGAAAGACAAAACAGTTACGATGCCAGGGAATGTTTTTCTCCTGTTTTGCCACAGTCACACACAGAGGTGTGATGTACCTTTTTTTCCTTTCAGAGAAGAACGTTGCAAAGCAGTGAAATGTAGGATTTTACTGCAAGCATTTTTAGGTCTGAAAATAGCACCCAAGAGGCATGACTTCATGCATCAGATGGCTAAATGAGTCTTCTCATCAGTCATGTACATTTTTGTTTCCTTTTTCCTGCTGTTTATCTTTCAGGTGATGTTTTATATGAACTGCTTCAGCATATCCTGAAGCAAAGGAAAGCTCGTATGCTCTTCACACCTTTCTTCCACCCTGGGAACTCTATCCATGCTCAACCAGAGGTCATATTACACCAGAATCATGATGAAGGTAACTCTGTCTCATTCTTACGGGAGCTGCTATTAGAGAGGCGAGTAGAGTAAGGCTGTGAGGAATTATGCAAATTTCTTGCTTCAGTGTTACTTAAATAAAGCTACTCTCCTCCCTTTGTGTCCATAGCTTTAGAACAACCAAATGGTCTAGTGAGTGAACTAGACATTCTCCATTTGTCTTCTATTATTTTGTTCTCTTTCCAAAGCCTCTTTAAAAGCTATGCCAGATACAGATTAAAAAGCAGAAAGTTTTATTGATCCCATTGATTCGTTTTTCCTCGCACCCAATTAGGTAGACAGAGTTGCTTCATGGACTTTTAGTATCCCGGAGATGCAGGTAAATGCAATTGTTTGCAGACCAAGGAAGAAGGCAGCCTCAGAGAGGAATATCTAACTCAAAGTCACTTCGGCTGACAATCTGAACATCGTGCCAGAGTTCCTAGAACTGAGCCCATCATGCTGCTCAGCTTTTGGGCTGGTTGAGCAACTCATATTGAGAGAAGGGGGTTTCTGCAGGTTTTCTCTCATTTTTACTATCAGAATTACTTGCTTAGGTCTAGTAGTATCCACACACACCATGACTCTCAGAGGTGATGAAGAAAGAATAGGTAAGTTTGTGGAATTTCATACTTGGGCTTCTTCTACTTGTTATTCGTACAGATCAAATTGTAAGTCTGCTGCTTTCAATAGAAAATTGAAGTTTTATTTTCTTTAAAAATACACACACTAAAGTACTTCTTGGGTTTCTTGGGTATATAACAGAAAAATATAAAGCCTAGGCCTCTTCAAAGGCCTTTTCGAAGCATCAGGCAGAATTCACTTTTTCAATTTAAAAAAATCTAGGAAAAAGTGGTGTTACTCCTTTTGTAAGTAAACAGAAGAGAACATAAGTGAGTTAGGATGTCACCCTAGTCTGTGCTAACTGGATAAAAGATGTACTAATGCTATTTGATATGCATCTATTTGAAGATTCAACATGGGATTGCAAGAGAGGATTCAGGGGTACTGTCAGACCTGTATAAATTGCCTATAGCCAGTCTGACCCTGCCAGAATCAAATGGCACCAGCAAAACTCTAAAATTAAGCCAAGAGCGGGACAACAGCAGGTGGAATAAGGACACTCCAAAGTCTTTCTACACAACTGTGTAAATTATTTCAGCTTAGGTGAAGGCGCTACAGGTCAGGATGAGGTTCAATTAGCAGAGTTGTGCAAGAGAGTTGTCTAGTGTATTCAGTCACTTTCCAGAGACTATTAGTAAAATCTCAGTCTTTTCCTGAAGCTTGGCCTTCACCCATGTGTGTTCCCATTCTAAATTTCAAACTAGCTGCTCTTTCAGACACTCCCACCTTAAACATATGGAGCAGCTTTCACTAGAGAGGATTTCACAGGGATGATGAGTCAACCTTTCAAGTGTATCACTTAAAACATAAGTCCTTTATAATGTAGTGATTAAGAAAAAACTTTGATTTCTTCCTTACAACACTCTGGCTACTGATAGTACCAGTGTTTTTGCTTAGAAAACTGTGCTATTACTTAAAACTTCTCTTTATAATGACAAAAATTAGTTCTTGGTTTGCTGTGAGAGGAACTTCAAAACAAGCAAAAGAAACTACACTTTGCTGTCACAAGACTGAGCAATCAAAAAATCTCTATGCCAAGAATTTATAGGCAGGTGAATTTATTTATTTATGTATTTTAACATTACTTCTTCCTATTTCACAGAGTCACTTGGGAAAAACTAGCACAATTAAGTTTTCATTTTCCCTCAGCAAATTGCAACTTAGTAAAAAAAGGAGAATGACTGTGAGGAGCAGAACTTAACCCTGGCCGACTCACAAACTGTGACAGAGGGGACAGGTGTTACCTTGGCACAATATTGAGTGGTTAAACTTCATAGGTGAGGTATTTTTTTTTAGAATCCCTCCTTACTCCAGTGATCTTTTTCAATTTTCTGGGTCTTTTGCCTATTTTCTAATAGATTATACTTATGATCCTGCTTCTAAATGCTTTCATTTACATATAGTGGCTTTTTGCTAGGCTCAAACAAAGGGGGTTTGGCTGTTTGAAATTAATTGCAGTTCAGAATATCTCCAAGATGCATTAGCATTGCCTTGGAATGCTCTGTCCCTGTAGAGGGATGACTAGTGGAAAGTGAATTACCTACATCTCCATTGGTCTTTCTGAGGGAGCTCTGAGTCATTTGATGAGATGCCATACAGGAAGGTTACACTCATTCCCTGCACTTTTGTGGGTAAGCAAAGAGTGCCAGTCTTTGGGATTGTCATGCCAGCAATTGCTCCTTCCCCAATTTAAGTGCAGCCCCACCTATCCCTATATGGATCAGATAGGTCAGCAAATTTCCTAGGAGGTGAATTTCCTTTCACAGCTTTCTCTTCAAGAAAAGAGTGTTGATCATTCTGAATGAAGAGCCAGACCGATGAGTGAATCTAGTGCTCCATGAAATGATATACCATGTGTGCTCAAACTAGTCATCAGATGTGCCAAGAAATGAATGATGAGGATTTTATTCTGCTCAGGGTCATTTGTGGCAGTGGAACTGCTTGGAGCTGAATTGGAATTGTTTTATGGCAAACAGCATCTTTGGCCATGAGGTGATTCTTTTGTTAAGTATTTAAAGAGAAAGATCTTGGTGGAAAGTGAACCTCTAGTGTGTACCCATTTGTGGTTTTTCCTCTTACTGCTTTTTAAAGAGTTCCTCAGTCTCTGCCTTCTCTCCACTCTGTCCAGGTTCAGTATCACCATGGTTTGGAAGCAGACAGAAAGGTCCATTTCTCTTTGGAGCTTGTCAGAGCCAACTAACGTTTGCAGAGAGCTTGATGGAAAGCACAGGAAGGCATCCCTTTCTGCTTTAAAGATAGCTGTTCCCCTCTGCCAAGGCACTTTAAATAAGTAGGACAAACAATACAATATTCTGGTCTATATTTACATGCCAAGAATGAGCACAGGGCATTTGAATATACCATGATGAGGGTGGATGGTCTGTAGAAGATAGGATGCTGAATAAAATTTGGGGGTTGATTTTCTTTCTGTTGTGGCAAAGAAAGGAGACTTTAAGAAAAGACAGTCACAGAAGTAGGTACAGTTGTAAGTTAATTCCTCTTTGATCTTCTTTCATTTGGGCTATTCCACATTATCCGGCCAGATTGTATTTAAAACTGCGTTTAAACAACAGTATATAGTTCTGAAGTTTCATGTCCTCCAGCTGTTTCATTGTGAATCTCTTAAATAGCTCTACGAACGGATTTTTCTTGTCTGGGACCACAGGTGTGTGCAGTAAGTGTTCTGGAGCAATGTAGGTTCTGCCTAAAATTTCAGGTTTTCCTGTAGACTTTAGCATGAACAGACTGTTGAGTAGGGAAAAGGGTTGGTGCTATGTCACTGCGTTGCACTACATTTTCTCAGGACTTGAGCTTTTCCTGTTCACACCTTTCCCTTTCCCAATGCTTGCCTGGGTTCCAGGGCAGTAGGAGCCCTGGGGTCTTCACTGTGGGCAGTATGGGGTCTTCAGCAAGTATCACTGCCTTGACAGGAGAGCAGAAGAATCCTTAAAGGATCAGAGAAAATGGAGTGAACAAACCAGCAGCCACAAATAAGCAGCTGCTCGTTTGAGCTTTTGACACGTACTCACGTATTTTTCTGTCATCATCCAAGGCTTTCAACAAACAGCACTGAAATTTGATCTTTGTTTTTCGGATAAAGACCTGTTAGTCACTGTGCTCCAGTGGTATTTTCCTCTTTGTCGGTAATTTCCCAAGTCAAAACTGATGGCCTTAACCTGAAAGTTTGCACTGGCAAACATTTTAATTTTGTGAGAGGATTGTTAGTACGTAAAGACACTGACCTAGAGCTGTGGTTTATCTCCCCCCTACTGTTAAGCATCATAGCTGGGCAAGTATGCTTATGCAAACATGATGCTAGAAGTCCTCCTGCTATGAAGACATGTAAGTGCTTATATGGGACAACCCATCAGTAGACAGCATAGACTAAACAAAAGAAGATGAAAATATCCTTATGTAGATGTTACATGCTCTTAAAATGAAGGCAGGGATAAAATTTAGCTAGTGTTTCACAAAGAGCTTCCTACCAGTGATTTTTTTTTAAATAACCCAGTCTGTATTTCAGACTGAGTTATTCTCTACCTTGACCTGAGCCCTCTACCATCTAGAACTTACAGCCCAATATTTTCCTGCAGACATTTTCCCTTTTTGTCTTTGCCTTCTACCTTACTGTTGTCATTGTGGTACAGTAACAGGAACCATACATAGAGACATGAATGGCAGGAGATAAGTTTCAAAGCATTTGCACAGAAACAGAGTTAGTACAACTAAATCAGATTTTACTCTTCACATATGTACTGGTCATAATGGGATTTCTCTTAACATATTTCTCCAGGAACTATTGATACATGGTGGTGGAAGGAGATTGTTTCACAGTACTGATTTCATTATGTGTAGTAGTAACTACCTGCATTTACATGATGTTTTTCTGGGCATCTGTAGGTCAACATTTCCAAGCTGACAGCAGTACCCAGTAAGCCTGGCTAGGAGTTGGAGAGTTAGTTCCTACACCTTGATCACAGTGTAGACAATCTGTATTTTTGGGACCTTTTTTTTCTCCACAGATAGCTTTGTCCAGAGACCTTCAAGACCATCCGCAGAAACAGTCCACCACAACCCCCCAACCATTGAACTGTTGCATCGTTCTAGATCGCCCATCAGTAACAACCACCGTCCATCGCCAGATCCCGATCAGCGACCGCTCAAGTCCCCTATGGACAACACTATCCGTCGCCTCTCCCCAGCCGACAGGGTGCCGGGAACAAGGCATCAGCATGAGAACAACCAGCAAGAGCCTTATCCTCTCTCAGTGTCCCCAGTAGAAAACAACCACTGCCCGCCTCCTTCTGAGGTGCTCCAGAAGCCCTCCAGCCCTCGCCAGGAGAACACCAGGGTCATCCAGCTGATGCCCAGCCCTATCATGCATCCTTTGATATTGAACCCCAGGCACTCCGATTTCAAACCACCAAGGTTGTCTGAGGATGGGCTGCACAGGGAAGTAAAACCAATCAACCTGTCCCACCGAGAAGAGTTAGCTTATATGAACCACATCATGGTGTCTGTATCCCCTCCTGAGGACCATGCAATGCCAATTGGAAGAATAGCAGGTAAGTGACATTCTCGAGGCTGCACCAAAGTTGATGCTCTTCATTCATAACTAACCATGCTTCTCGTTTTCTTTTGCTACTCTGTGACCTCAAGAGTTTACTGGCATTCTGCAAATTTCACTACATCTGTGGCTTAGACAGTTAAATATTAATAAACCAGTTTCATGACAGGTCAGCAGAGGTGCAGAATGACTTGCCTGTGACCACAGAACATGTAATTGGTATTGAATCATTTGCATCCTGACACTCACTGCCTCTCTACCCACTAGCAATCCATTTGTTTCACAAGATACCTATCTCCAAAGCCTTGTCCTGCAGAGAAGTAGTTTTCCAAAAGCTGCATTCACATTAGTGTCCAATCCCATGGAAAGGAAAAAAACCTCTGTCAGTGCAATGTCCAGCCCATTATGGAGCTGGCAGGATTAATGAAATACCACCTAGGAGTCCTGCTTCATAGCCTTTCCTGTGCTTCTCACACTAGGATTGTCCCTTTTTACAGAAACAAGGTTGTCTTTGTCCCATGCAAGCCACAGGCACTGTCTCAATTTTGTTATCGTAAATAACTGACATCACAATAGACTGACTCAGGAAGCTGAGGTTACAGAAGATGCTTCTTGTACTCATAAGGGAACTATAAATAGATAGGGAGAGGGCCAAGGGGAATCCAGCCACTTCAGAAATATGCTGGATGCCCCAGTAATCAATTTCTTTTGAGAAAAATTTGTAAATACACACCACACCCAAAAACATTCCATGTATTTATGTTAGCAGTAACCTAACGTGATACCCAGTTCCTGTGGGGTATTACACATGTCCACAGAGGTACATTTTAAAACACCTTGTTCTTTTTTGTCCTTACATGCCTTAAATTTGTTACAGATGTGGTGCTGCCTCAGCTTTAATGAGGAAGATTTTCTATTTTCTTAAGACTTACCACTTTAAATTCCAAAGATACATATCTTACCATCTAGTCAACATCAAGCATAACAAGGACCATGATCCTTTCAAATAATAGAAAGATGAGTTAAAGAAATTAGTCTTTTGGCATTTTTGCCTGGCTGACACTTGGTTCCCTCCTTTTGATTTTTATTACCCACACTGTTCTCAGCAAGTTAAGAAATAATGTTGTGGCAGAGAAAATACTCTGCTGGTTGCATCGATGGAGATTTCTTTCCCAGAAAGTATTACTGGAAGATCAAGGGGGTTGTTAATTTTTATTTTTCAGAAGGAAACATTCTGTAAGAATAAAGCCTTGTCTGAATGACATGAAGAAAAAATATGGGGAGCGGGTGATGGGATAATTTTTTAATTTTTTTCTTACATAATTGGGCATCTTTGGTTTCTGCAGTTTGTGCACTGGGTCCAGTGACACCAGCCCTGTAACTAGTACTTCCATGTCCTTTCCATTCCTATGTTGTTCTCAGGGCAACAGAGCCCAAGCCCATGGATATTTGGGCCTAACACAGTTGCTTGACAAGTATGTAGTAGTATGTACTTAAAATGTTATATTTGCAGGCTTAGGTGCTTTCACTTGCAGTCCCACGGCTTTGCGTAGACCCACCAGCATGGGTGGTATCTCTTAAATAGTTGGTGAAGTATTTCATGCCAGAAAGACCTGAAGCATATTCAGGCATTCAGTTCAGATGAAGGCTGTGCTTTATGGTCAGGGATTGGGGAAGTACATGGCTCATGGTTAGATTTATGTGATTTCTACTGATGAATTCGCCAGTGTACTTCCATCAGTGCCCTATGTCCTTTAATTGTAAATGCCAACAAGCCTCACCTGCTGCACAGGCACAAGGCAGTGCTATTCTGGTTGGATTGTAATGGCCCCTGAACTGTAGATACACCCTCTGAAGAGGTCACAGCCAATTTAAAGGTGACAAAAAACCGGATTACTACCAAACATTTAGATGGCCCATGTTTCATGCCTTTCAACTTCATCAGAGCTGTTGAATTCAATGGCAGAATATACTTAGGCCTCCTAGAAAGAAAGTACATACCTGTCTACCTGCTTTCCACCCATCTCACAGCCTTCAATTTAGAGCTCTTGCCAGAAAGTTATTTAATTTCTTTTTTTATATCAGCATGAATCTATTTTTCATCAGTCAGTAGAGCTCAGGACTTTCTGTCAAACGAAACTCACTGGCTAACTAATCTTTCCTACTTTTTTATGTAATATCATTTTTCAAAATATTAATTTCTGTGATAAAGGACTTTCCCTTTTACAGCAAAGAATTTCAAGTTGAAGATCTTATCTTATTTTCTAAAGCCATTTAACACTTTTCTAGCAAAGCCAGAGGCATAAAGTATCTTTATATTACTCATCATTGGCTAGAGTTGATTTTGAAAATTATGTTTAGCTATCTTCTGAACACAATATGCACAAGTCTTTCTGTAACTTTGTCAGAACTAGAGGTCATTGTGTTGGGATGATCAAAAGGCAGATTTGCATCCCCTGTAAATACATCAGGCAAGGGGTAAACTAAGTAACTCAAGCATCAGCAGTCATCTAGTTACCAGCAAGGGGTAAACTAAGTAACTCAAGCATCAGCAGTCATCTAGTTAACAGCATGTAAAAATATTAAAATATTAAAAATAGCTCAGAAGTCAAGTTTTGCAGAGCAGTGTAATGGACAGTTTTCCCCACTGGAACTGCTAATTCAAAGCAGCAACAGTGCTGGTAGTCAGTTCCTAACTTGGACTCCAGCAAGCAGGCAGTATATGGCTTACTTTTAGCTCTGAATTTTTTTAATTAGTCAATCTTGGTTCTCCCCAAACAATCTCCAGGGATTTCTCTCTGTGAGGGGGGAAAAAGAGATATCTTTTTTTCTTTTTTTTTTCTGTTTCTTTTTTTTTTTTTTTAACATGGTGGCAGTTTCAGTCAAGAAGGGGCACCTGAAATTAGCCCTTCTGCAGACTGGAAATTCTACGCCCCACAAACCTCTGACTGTGAAGGTTTTCTTAACAAACATTTTAGGACTTTGATATCTTGTGAAAGGTACTTTCCCAAGGTTCAAGGAGAGGTGGGAGTTATTGCATTTGCAGGCATTCATAGTGCATCATGGCTGAGGCAGTCTTTGCAGTCCCGGTGGAACCAAAGCTACCAGAAATGCTTTCTGCAGCCATCCTGAAGTTCTGTTCCCCCATCCTTCCTTGGGAGCACTGCTGTTGACTTTAGCCAGGGCAGATTTTCACCACAAAACTTCATTTATTTTAATACATATCCATGTCCACCTCAGCTTGTAAGTATGCAGGAAAATGGGAACTGACATATTAGATCTCACCAGAAACCTGTTAGTGGCTTAAAAGAAGACACAGGAATCCCTGCAAGAGGCTGTTAACAGGATTATCCAACTACAACCAGGTTAGTTTCATACTAACCTTTATCATATAGAGATTGTCTTAGAAACATCCAAATTAATCTAAAGACATACTGGTAGTTACTTTTGATTCAGTGACTTAAAACTAATACAGTTCTGGATGTTTCTTGTGAGGGGAAATACATTACCGAGCAGGTTCCTGGGATTTTCAGCTCCCAGTGACCTTTTCTCTCTTTAAGGAGAGAAACGAGTGTCAGCCAGGCAAAAATGCCAAAAGATTAATTTCTTTAGCTCATCTTTCAGAACTTCTGTACTAGCTCTCTGGGGCTGAAATGCTTGTTCACTAATCCACAGCAGACGCTGGTGCTGAAACTTTGGGATAGAAATATAACAACTCCTTTACTCAAGCACTGCCCAGTACAGATACTAACAAAATGACTGCGTAGGTGTAAAGGCAGAGTGCTGTTCTAGAGCACTGGCAGGTTCAGCTGGACTCCCCCCAAGGACTACTTGTCCTGTTGGAATCAGGACCCAGTAAAATGCTTTAAGGTCTGGGTTCACTCTGTGTGTGTCTGAAGCAGACCTATCCCATTCATACAAGCAACTTAGAAGGATGAGTATTGCTATTCCTCTGCAGAGCCTGACCCTGCCTATTGCTTTTGATTCTGCACTGCATTTGGTGGGGGAAAAATCTAAAGGCAGAGTTGTAACAGTAGACATTTAGAGCTTAAATATCAAAAGACACCAGACTTTATATCACAGCACCTCAGCAGTGTCTCTTCAACTTGGCTACCATGACCAGAGCCCCAGTGCCTGCATTTGCTCCAGATGTGTCAATGTAGCATTTACAACTGTGTCAAGTTGTAAGGATGATCTTTTGGTTTTTTTAACTCATAGTAACAGCAAAATCCTTTGTGCAAATGCACTTTATTATTTATAATGTGTTACACCACACTAGTTTATTTTTCTTTCTGTGCAAAATAGCTGTACAGGCACAGTTAACTATGCGATAGCGTATGCTGGATGGTGGGGAGGGAGGGTGAAAAGGAAGCAAAGAACAGTTATGCCTATGTAAAGAGGGTAAAAACCTAAGCACAACTTTAAAGTTACAAGTTTTGTAACTGGTACCATTAGCCTTCAGAGAAGGGCTGGAAAAAATTACGGAAAAGATTATACTGGGTACTGTTGAAAGGCATTTAAAGAATAATGCAGTCATTGGGCACAGTCAGCACAGGTCTACAAAGGGTAAGTCCTGTTTAATTAATTTGATGTCTTTGTATGATAAGGTCACCCACCTAGTGAATGAAGGGAAGGTGGTGGATATAGTTGTTCTGGATTTTAGTAAGGCTTTTGCTACTGTCCCTCACAACATCCTTATGGACAAGTTGCATGGCTGTGGGGTGAGTGGATTCACAGTGCACTGTGTGAATAATTGGCTGAAGGGCAGAGCTCAAAGGGTTGTAATGAACAGGGCTACATCTATCTGGCAACCAATCATCAGTGGTGTTCCTCAGGGCTCAATTCTAGGGCAAGGCCTGTTCAATGTATTTATCAGCGATCTGAATGCAGAAGTTGAATGCAACTTCAACAAGTTTACAGATGATACCAAGCTGGGAGATGCTGTTGACTCTTTTGAGGGACAAGATGCCTTGCAGAGGGGTCTCTATAGATTGGAGC